GGTTCTACCTGATTTTGCGCTATTCAGTGGGTTTTCAGTCTGATACCGAGTTCGCGCTATTCGATTTCGATATCGATTCTGAATTCTACATAATCGTGTCCTTTCTTGTGATTCGCTTTTGAGTCCCTCCTTGTGACTTTCAATTTCGCCAAATATTTGTTCAATCTTATGTTTAGTTTCGGCAGGATCCACCCGAGCAATCACGTCATCATTTCGAGAGGCTTGCGCAATCGAAATCAGGCCGTCTGCATCGTTCACCCCGCAAGCCTCAGTTTGTCTCTCGTCCGTGCCGGCATGCTTTGTATAAACCGGTCTTTGGCAAGCCCCCCTCGTGTTTTCATTGTTTGCCTCCGGCAGGCCCAGATAAATTTTTCGCTTTGTGTTGGTAGTGCACCAGCGCGTCCTAAGCCTGGTTGTACTCCGCAGCGTAGAACTGGTTCATTGCCTTCTCGCGATCAACCTTCTTTGAAAACTCTGCTGCCAATGCAGCTTTCAAATTCTCATAATCCAGGGCTTGGTTGCTTTCCAAATTCAAATCGTAAGCGGCCCTCGCTCGTACGGAAAGCAGTGCATCCAACGCGGTGACCAGATGCGCACTCCCTTTGATGTCGTTGCATGATGCGATTAATTCAAAATCGCGGTTCCACTTCTCCACATCTCCGTCTGGAAACACGTTTGGCCAAGGTACCGTCATTGCGTTGTGCTGAATCGGGTGACGGTACCACTGTAGCGAGAAGGCGAGCCGGCTGGCAAAACGTTTATTGATCCAATTCAAAAACAACCGGTGTACGCGTTCAATTGTATATATTCAATTCTTAACCGCGCGGCAGGATTATTCAGGCCTCTTTCTGTTGGTCAATCCCTGCTGGTTTTGGTCCGCACTTGGCACGTACATTGCCTCTTCTTCCGAGTGCCGTTCCGGCTGGTTTGACCCGATCGTAGCGCGACATACGTTGATCGACAGCTCCGACGTAGTGACATTCGGTGTATATCTTTCTGGCTAGCTGCGGATCGTCTGTCGGGTTGTAATATTCGATTAGTTCGTTCCGGGTGGTAGTTAACATTGTCTCTCGGATGGCTTCCA